TTCCTATGAGGATGTTGTATGTATGAACTAAACCACTGTATCACTCATCAGCTTTACTCATAGCTACTTATATCACAACACCACAAAATTGTAACATATCTAACAAATCTACTGTTATTATAGTTTGCTTTGACTATTTTTATGTGAAATACCTGACAGCTCCTTTGATAATCCTGATAATTAATTGTTTAAGACTAGCTTTATAAAGCATTTAGTGTGAACCTTTAAATCTTAGAATTGCATTGCCATCACGTTAATTATTGTTAAAATGCTTATCTAAGACACAAAAAACAGTTGAATGAGCTGGTCTCGCACCCCATTAGTGTCCTTGCATTATTAGTTCTTCCTTTATGAAAAAATCTGCACGTTAGGGCCCTGTTATGTTAAGAACCAATATAAAAAAGTGCTAGAAAACTGACCATGTTGGCTGATGGGACGAGGTTTATATGAGAGGTTGTACATTGCGTAGACTGCACATAAATTATTGTTTAAATGTTTGCTGTGACACTCTCAGTGGTCGTTTTAATGTTTCAACCTACAGCATGTGATAACCTGTACCAAAAAATAACTCTTTCACCATTTTCCTTTCTGATTACTCTTCTCATTTAAATCAAAAAGAAATGTTATCACCAGTATAAGGGACACTGCTGACTGTGTGTTGTGTTCATTAATGACTGAATGTTGTACTGTAAATATATGGATATGGGATGTTATTCTTATTATTTCACGCTAGATTAAAATCTAGTAATGGTGCAGATTAATCCACAGCCAGTTCAGACTGCAGCACCAAACCTGAGTTGATCAAAGTTGTATATTAAAATTAAATAGCCTACATTAATTTAATTAAAAGCTAATTCTACTGCAATATTGTTTTAAAGTTTAGGTTTTGTGGTAACATTGGTTTTCACTTTATATACTGCTTTGATTGGTAAGTGCTTTCACCTTTTTTTTTCCCCAAATTTAGATCAGAGCACCATAAATTCATATTTATTAATATGGAATTAATTTCACATGACATACACTTTTGTTGGATTACTGACAGCGGAATTAGCAGCCAGAATTTAGCGTTAGCTGTGCTGGCAGTGTGGCTCTGGTGGTGGTGGGTAGGGTAATATTTATGGCTGGAACAATTTTTTTTTGTTATTGACAGATCTACTGACTGTTTCTACAGACTGTTTTATTAGTCTATAAATGTTAATTGCTATGACTTTAAAAATGTGAAAATAGCAGAAAATGGCCTTTATAATTTCCCTGCATCAATCTCGGTTCTCAGTTTACAATCAGGTGTAACAAAGAAAAACATAAAATATCACACTCATTTAAGAACCAACAAATGTTTGGCCTTTAGCTTAAGATGAATAAAATGATTATCAAAATTATTTCCACGTATACTTCTGGTACTGGTAAATTGATCAGTGCAGTTCTGGTAGTGTCTAATGTAACATTTGTGTCATTTCAGTTGTTACTTGACCTGGCAGTGAGAGAGTGTTTCTGGCAGTCCAGTGCTTATATATCAGGGACAGCTGTGATCTTTTTTGTTGCACATATATCACCAGCAAGGTTAAACGTGAAAGTAACTGAACTCTACGAGCAGAGGAAGGGTCAAAATTTGACACCTGGGTTGTTGATACAGTGTAGATCTGTGTGTGAATGTCTTCTTTGCTGGTATTCTCCATAAATGAATACCTAGGCAAACAGGCATCCACATGTCAAACTAATGTGAACCACTTTTATCATTAGTCATGCAACTCTATGAGCATGCAAAGTAAGACACAATAGAGTTCATACACTGGCTTGAGTCATAAGATCCTGGGTTACCATAATAAGGCATGTTCTGTTAGAGGGGAACATCCTGTCCTGATTGTGTAACCTTGGTGGTTTTTAAATGATGTAACAGGAACCTAGACAAGTACATGAGTTATGTGTAGGTTACTTTGTGCTCAAAATTCTGAATACAGCTGTGGAATATATATTACAAAATAAAATTTGTTGCATACAATCCATGATAAAATACAACAGGATTGTGTACATACATAAAAAATAAAATCAAACAATAGAGTAAAGACATGGACGTTATTAAGGAAATAGAGCTCTCAGAATTGTTGGCAATGTAACAAATCAAATATGAAACACATTTTTTTTTTCAAATTCAACCTCTTTGTTCTCTTTATTTCCTACTTAATAAATCACAGAAAAACAACTGTAAAGGTCACAATGTAAATCAAAACGTATTTCATCAATAATATTATACTGGGCTAATATCAGGCAAGTTGAAGGAGATCAAGTTCTCGGAGCCTGCCATCGGGTCCAGAGGCAGGAGAAAGGTGCAGCGGCTTTGGTGAGCAGCACATGGTAGGCCCGTCGAAACTGTCGATTCATGATCGCATAGAGCACAGGGTTGATACAGCTGTTGAGCCAGGTGAGGTTTGCACTTAACATGTGCAACACCTGTGGGGCACGGTTCTGTTTGTCGGCTATGTTGAGCAACAGGAATGGGACAAAGCAGAACATGAAACACAGAAAAACGGTGAAACACATGCGAGTAACACGTTTAAATTCACCATCATCTCCTGAAGTTGCTGAGTGAGAGGAGGATGCTGCCTGTGTGACAGCAGGTGTGGATGAAGGTGGTGCAGGGGCAGTACTGGGGGGAGATTTGCTGGCTGCTGATGAACTTAAGGTCTTTGCAGAGCTCTGTGTAGATTCATCCTTATTTCTCACCACATCTGCCTGGCTGCTCATCTCAGAGCTACATGTGTTGGCTGTGCCACTCTCCACACCACTGTCATCTGTCTCTTGTGCTGAAGGAGCAGGTCTCTTTCTGGATGAGGCCAGAGCGGGCAGAAGCTGGCCAGGCCTAGTGCCCATGCTGACATCAGGAGGACAGTAAGACCTCGGTCCGAGAACACGCGTTCAAACACAGTGCGTTTTGCAACCAGAAGGTATCTGCTCACTGCTATCAGGCAGAGGGTGATAATGGAGACGGAGTTGGAGAGGAAGAGGAGCAGGCCAAAAATGCTGCACCAGACCTCACCACTGCGCCATCTGAGGTGTAGATAGGAGTCGACTGAGATGGGCTGCAGTATGGTGCAGTACAGGAGATCAGCTACAGCCAGGTTGACGATGAGTACATTGAAGCGAGTCCTCAGATGTTTGTCTAAGGAGAAGGCTAGAATGGTCATCAGGTTCCCCACTGTACCGGTGATGGTCACAGCACATCCCCACACCACAGCAAAGTACCGGTAGCCTACGACTGAAGGACTGTAGCAGGAGAAGAGGTCGTCATCCGTTTGGTTTGTGTGGTTCGCCAACATTCTGTCAACTAACAGGAATCAGAAAATAGGTTAACCTCTCTGTAATGTGCTCGCTGAAGGTTATATTTGAATAGAAACACAGTCCTCTCCACACCTCTGTGTGGAAGTGCCACAGGTGAAAGGGAAAATAGCTGTTTGTACAATTCAGCACATCCAGGGGTTCATTTGTGACACCTCATTTAAATATGAAAGAAATTTAACAGAGGTGGAAAGTAACTCAGTACACTTACTCAAGTTCTGTACTTGAATAATAAAACAAAATACAGTATCATCATAAGATTTATTGAACTTTGGTGTCAAATTCACAAGCTACCCCACAGTAATTCATATTCTAAGTATATAAGGTAGTTAAAATTAGCTCTGCCTGTACCAGCGTCAACATTAAATGTGATGTGCACAATAATACATCAATAATTATAGTCGAATAATATGATTTACATCAGTGTAAACTGTGCCATTTTGTATAATTAGTACTTATACTCTTCTTTGAGTATATTTTATGCTGATATTTTTGTACTTTTACTTGAGTAACATTTTGAATTCAAGACTTTTACTTTTTGCGGGAGGAGTGTGGGCCCGTTAACAGGGTGACCTCCCTCCTAATGTTCTCAGAGTCCAGGCATTGTTGCTATTGTTGGGCCAAGAGGTGACAGAGAGTGGGGCCACTTAGCTCGGCACCGGGCACCGGGCACCATAATAGAGAGTCCCGCTAGGACCAATGGGCTTCGGCCGCTGTGACCCGTAAACAGATGTTATTCAGTTAAAACAAACAAACAAACAAACAAAGTGGTTTCCCGGGGTCGTGTGGTGTAAGTGGCACGGGACTGCGTCTCACCAGCTAACGTGTTGTCTCCAGTCTCTTTATACCTGAAGGTGAGAACATATTTATTTAATGTTACTGTATTAAACAGCCTCTGGTGTGCTTTAAATCTGTACCTGTAATATTGTGAATAACATGTTAAAGTGTAGAGGAATAATAACGTCCCAAATATTTCATACTTGTTAAGGTATTGAATGAATGACAGACCGTAGCTTCGCAATCCTAATGTATTTAGCTTCAGTTGTGCACGACATTATAACTGGCACTTGCAGGTGCGTGTCTTAAGTGTTTTATTTCTCACTACAAACACACAGCAAATAATGTTTAGCGTCTAAACTCCTCGCTTAATGTGGAAACTAAGTCATTAAGACATTGTTTCATCGCGGTCCGGTTTTATTTGCAGCAGTTTTGTACAACTGTACAACTTGAAGCGCATTGTACGGCAGGCTAAAATCATCCCTTCATTAGCCATTATATGGAGGTAGATAAGGATTAAACAACATAAAAACATGTTTTATTTATAGTGTGATCTCAAAAGCACTGCTTTCGCAGCAACAATGACTAATAAAAA